CCACTGAATAAGTGGCAACATCACCGACGACTAGTAGAAACCCAGTGTTGACTAGCCAAAGACGAGGTTTGGCCACGCCTATGATTTCAGTGGGTCGTGCCGTGGAAAGCTCGGCCCGAGCCTCGGCAGGAGAAAGACGAAGAGAGAGAGAGAGAGACGGGCAGGACATTAGACGAAAAATGAGCCCTCAGCTTAGACTCGAGCCGGTGAGACATCACCCCCGCCCACCACTAGGATTGTGATTTCTCATTGGCTCGAGTCTAAGCCAAGGGATCATTTTTCATCTAATTTACAGCCTCCCTCTCTCTCTCTCTCTCTCTCTCTCTCTCTCTCTCTCTCTCTCTCTCTCTCTCTCTCTCTCTCTCTCTCTCTCTCTCTCTCTCTCTCTCTCTCTCTCTCTCTCTCTCTCTCTCTCTCTCTCTCTTTCTCTCTCTCTTTCGCTCTCTCTCTCTCTCTTTCGCTCTCTCTCTCTCTCTCTCGCTCTCTCTCTCTCTCTCTCGCTCTCTCTCACTTCTAAGGAGGATACAAGAGGATGGGCAAGGTTAATATCCGGACATAAACAAGGGTCAAATTTAGACCCTATTTTTCAAGCTTTTCTCTCAGAAACGGAAAACGAGATAAAGAGAGAGAATGCGCAAACACTATTCGTCCTGTCTCTCGGTGTTTTTGGGCCAAAAGCTCAGAAAAAATTGGGCCAAACTTCTGGCGTTCTAACCCACTGACACTTACTCGTATATTAAAGAAATTGAAAATAAAACTACGATCGATAATCACATATTTATTCAATACGTGTTAGAATGATAAATTATCTAAATATATAAATATCAATGATAATTACAATATATTTTCTAATATGTGTTGACTTCCCTTCAGATTCTAATCCTGGAGGCGTCCAGTTCCAGCTGGGAGCTGGGGCCCAGATCTCCGCTGTAGTGGCAGCGGAAGCGCAAGGAAAGTCAGCTCTTGCCGACCTATTTTACCACAGTCCAAGATGAGGATTGACCATAAGGAAAGTCAAAGGCCGGGATTGACCACAATTTGAGTCGGTCAATCACAGGTGGGAATCAATCACAATCCAAATCAGGAGATCAGAAGATTACCATCTAATTCATGCAAGAAAACAGATGCTTGGAGATGATTAAGGGGAGGGTTTCTAAAGGTGCCGAGTTCAAACATCTTCTAAAGTTTGTTCATCTTTTGCACGCAGAGGCAGCCCGAAACAACAGAGGTCTAGAAAAAAATTATATAGATTGTTCATCTTTTGCACAGGAAATCAATGGCCCGGCCCTTTCATGCAACGCTCTGGAGGGCCACCCAAAGGCTCCTCCGCTGCTGAGAGGCGCTTCACGAGCATGTACTCAGGATGGTGCAGCTTCAGCTGGCTGGAGGAGTTACAGGAGTCGAACCATACTCAGAAAACCAAGAAAAATAGGCCAGCTATTTATTTTTTTAATTCAGATGTGAATATATATGCATATGATTCAGTGTTTAGATCCCACTTTGGATTGGGATTAGATGGATCGAAATTACCTCAGGAAGCGGGTAGATGATTTCCCAAGATATATACTGCAGACAATTAAATTGGCCAGAGTCTCCAGATCCCATGGATCCTGCACACAATGCGCTGTAATCAGCTTAAAGCTGTGTTCTATCGGCCGGATATATAGTCAGATGGATCGCCACGAATTCCAAAGTTAGTGAAAATAAACGATGGATTACCTTGGTTAAGGCGTCCAGTAGCAAGGTTTCATCCTCATCAAAGTTGCCCATGTGCATGCAGGAGACGGCCTTTCCATTCAAGACCAGCCCAGTCATCAGAAATTTTTCGAGCCCGCCCTACGATCAGAGAGAGAGAGAGAGAGAAGAATCAGCCACAGAAAGATATATATTTATAAAGTTATAGTTCACATATGTATTTCCAAAAAAATAAAAGAGGGCCCACCACAGCAAGGTCATGCCAAGCAGTCGCCAGTTGAGTCAGTGTGTGATCTTCGTCGATCTGTTGCATGATCCTAAGTTGCTTCTCTGCATAGTCAGCATTTTGCATCTTCAGGTATATTTGCACGTTGAGTGCATGTCTGTGAACATATAAGAAATGATTGATTACAGAGAACTTAAAAGAGGAAACAGTGCCCTTTTCTAGAAACATATGAGCTTTAAGTATCATAACCTTTTTTTTTTTTAATTACTGACGTATCAAAATTGAAATAAATAAATAAATAGTATTTCGGACTAACAGTTCCATGGTTCCTCCAGCATTGGTATGCTTCAGCGCCTCGTTGTAGTCCTGTTCATGCATAAATATGGTCCCCGCAGCCAACCGTAGCACAGAATTATTTCGAATGGCTGGAACATTCAGCCATTCTTTAACGCTTGAAAACACAGATTCCGGTTTAGAACAGATGATGAATGTCAATATTTTCAGGGTAAGATGCTCATGGAAGAGCATGAACTGGAAGCAATTTAGTGCTCAGGTCAGAGAGCGAGATCGGAAGTTTTAGGAAAACAACGACAGCCAAGTCGCATCGTCGGTACCTGGTAGGATCCCTGAGCGATGTAAGCGCGGTAAACGAGGGAATCCCTCTAGTCGGCCTCTTCGGGCGAGAGGCTGCGGAGCCGCTCGGCGCTGGAGATCGCGACCTGGTACGCGCCCAGATAGAAGTTGTTCCGAAGGGCAAACAAGTGGTCGGGAGATGCCATTGCCGGCCATCCTCCGCCTCTGGTTCCACGTGATCCCGAATTGGGAAAGCAATTTTGTTTAGCCTGCTGTAATGATCGACAATCGTCTTTGTATTTTTAGCCTTGTGTACGTATCTAAATGTATATAACTGATTTGATTTCTAAACTGACGATCGCCACCTCAATACTGCTCTCCCTCCCTCTCTCTCTCTCTACCGCTTCTCACCTTTTTCTCCCCACTTCTTTCTTGCATTCTCTCTCTCTCCTAATGCAACATTAGAATTAAGTTACAGTAGTCACATAATCTACTAGATTGGAGGGACAGAACCTATCCTAAACAACACATCCCCTGTTTTCATTTATTTTAATTAAC